AAAAAAAAAAAAAGAAAGAAAATCATTGCTTCATTTTCTGTGTTTGCTTAAAATTTGTAAAGTAGATACATATTGCCAGTTAATCTCAAACTCTCTCTCAACCAGCACTAAAAAAAAAAAAAATGTCCCCCAATGTGTTCAGACCTGGGGGTCCTCCACCTGGTTTGTCCCTGGAGACCCTCCTGGTGCCATCAGGCTCGGGACCCCCTCCCACCTGCCGTGGTTGGGCTGTGCCTGGCTCTGTCCTCTCAGAAGCCCCTCATCCTCCCCACATAGAACCCTGGTCTCTGAGTCCCCACATCTTTCTCCTCCTCAGTCTGTCACCTATTTTGTCAGCCTGTCCCCTATTTTGTCAGCTGCTGTTTTCCAGCAGCTTTCTGAGAAGCTACACAGGAGTCAGAGTCGAGCCCAGCACATTATCCATTCCTCCTGGTAGCATCCTCTTACCAAGGTCTCACTTGCTGGAAATGACACTCTAAATTGGCTGTGTTTTCCCTGAGACCCAGGGAGGATGACAGGGCTTCCGAAGGGGCTGTGGTTCTGAACATGGCTGCTTTGTTGGCAGTTCCCCTTTCCTGAGCTTCTGTTATCCTGCTTCTCTCCTCTGCCTCACCATCACACAAACGTGCTTCAACACCTCTTTCTCAAAAATTCTTCTCTCTCCTCCACATCTGGTTTCTGGCTATCCCCCTCCAAGTGCTGCCCTTCCCTGGGCCCATCTTTCCCCCTCTCTCACAGACTTCTGTACAGGCACTCAGAAAGGCCATCTGGATACACCTGCAATACCCAGGTTCCCAGTCTCAGCCCAGACCTCTCCCTGGAGTCGTCTGGCTGCCTCTTCCACATTCCTGGCCCCCCTCCAACCTTGCCCCCACACCCAAGTTGCTTGGCCCAGAGCCTGACCCCCTTGACACTTCCCCCTCTATTTTTTTTTTTTTAAGAGACAGAGTCTCACTTTGTTGCCCTCAGAGTGCTGTGGCTTCACAGCTCACAGCAACCTCCAGCTCTTGGACTGAGGCAATTCTCTTGCCTCAGCCTCCTGAGTAGCTGGGACTACAGGCGCCCACCACAATGCCTGGCTATTTTCTTTTGTTGTTGTTTTGTTGTTGTTGTTGTTGTTGCAGTTTGGTTGGGGCTGGGTTCAAACCCACCACCCTCAGTATATGGGGCGAGTGCCCTACTCACTGAGCTACAGGCGCTGCCTCCCTCTCTATTTTTCTCTGCACCCCTTGCAGATACAGCTGGTATGTCTCTTATGGGAATGTGAGAATGTCAGCTCCTAGGGAAGGCAGATGCTCATCTAGTGATACTAAATTCTCAGCAACTGGAGCAGATATCTGTCAAAGAAATTCCTGGGCATTTGTTGGGCCTATGGCTTGAGGTTCTTGGGTTCTCCTAAATCATGGGTTTGCAATCTGCCTCAGTTCCTCTGCTTTCTTCTCCAGCACTATTTTGTTTAGAAATTAGGTCTTCTGAATTGACATCTAATTTCCTGGGGTTTTCCTCCCATTTTCTATTCCTTTGTGGTTTTGTTCATGCTTCAGGGAGTCTCCCTCGCCCTCCCTGATGACCCTAATTTGAGGGCCACCTTGGCCTTGTAGACCTGGCCCAGCCTCCTCCCTGCCATTTGGATGCCATGACTTCCTTGTCCAAGGGTGGTGCCTCTCTTTTCCCTTCCATTCTGGCATTGCTCTGTTTCTTCTGAGCTTCTATTATACTCTCAGATTGGTCTGACTTTGATGGCCTGGATTCTTGGCCACCTGTCCATGACTGAGAAGGGCACATGCTAACAACTTTGCTCTGGGCCATGTCTCTCCTGCTGAGACCTCCCACTCTGGAAGTCTTGCCCAGTGTGGGGCCACAGCATCCACCAGCCCCATCTGCAGCCTGAGTCCTTGGTTGTTCAGCACCCCCAATTAGCTCTGGTTCTCTGGGGGAGGCTTGGGGGTCAAGTAGGAGGCCTAGGGGCCTTTCAGTTGGGCATGCATTCCCCAGCAGGTACCCCCAAGACCCTGGAGGCTTCCTGGACCTCCCCCTGCATGTTCAGTTCAGCTTGGCATCTTGATTGGGCTTGCAGATCTCCCCAATTCCCTTCCCTACAAGGTGATTGTGGTGGTGGGGGTCACCAGCCAGCCATTTTAATTGCAAGTTGGGAATGAACATTTAAATAAATATAGATATTGCCAAAGCAACCTCCAAAAAAGCTGTGCTCACTGAGAAAGATGCCTGCAATGTGTGAGCATAGCCCACCCCATGTCAAGCTGATAGACAAAGTCTTTTCACTTTTTTTTTTTTTTTGAGATAGGGTCTCACTTTGTCACCCTCAGTAGAGTGCCATGGCATCATACTCAGCAACCTCAAACTCTTGAGCTTAAGTGATTCTCTTGCCTCAGCCTCCCAAGTAGCTAGGCCTACAGGCTTCTGCCACAATACCTAGCTATTTTTTTGTTTTTGTTGTCAATATTGTTTTTGCAGGCCCGGGCCAGGCTCAAATCCGCCAGCCTGGCTGTATGTGGCCAGCGCCCTAATTGCTGCACAATGGGTGCCAAGGGCCTCTGGAAGTTTTAGGACTTTCACTTTAAACTGGTGAAGAGTACCAGGGGTGGGGTCCTTGGGTTATATAGGTTACCCATTGGCGAGCTCTTCCAATTTAAAAGCCTATATCCTGCCTAGGCTCATTAAAACAACTTTTTTTTTTTTTTTTTTTTTTGCAGTTTTTGGCTGGGGCCAGGTTTGAACCTGCCACCTCCAGTATATGGGCCCATGCCCTACTCCTTGAGCCACAGGTGCTGCCCTAAAACAACTTTTTAAGTTCTTTTTAAAGCAACTGTTCTCAAGTTTTGATTTTTAATATTTTCCTTCTGTCTTCTTTTTTTTTTTTTTTTTTGAGACAGAGTGTCACTTTGTTGCCCTCCGTAGAGTGCTGTAGTATCACAGCTCACAGCAACCTCCAACTCTTGGGCTTAAGTGATTCTCTTGCCTCAGCCTCCCATGTAGCTGGGACTATAGGCACCTACCACAATGCCAGGCTAGTTGTAGTTGTCATTGTTGTTTGTCAGGCCTGGTCTGGGTTCGAACCCACCAGCTCTAGTGTATGTGGCTGGTGCCCTAACCGCTGAGCTACAGGCACCTGAGCCTTTTTTTCGTTTGCTTATTTTGAGACATTCTCACTCTGTCACCCAGTCTGTAGTGCAGTGGGGTCATCATAGCTCAGAGCAACCTCAAACTCTTGTGTTCCAGTGGTCCTCTTGCCTTGGCCTCCCAGAGTGCTGGAATTACAGGCATGAGCCACTGCACCCAGCCAAAAGTTTTTTTTTTTGTTCCCTAATTTTTACTTGTAGCATCTCTTTGTTATGTTTATAGATGCAGTATTTTCTTGAGGATGTCAATTAGGTTTCTTCCTCTCCTTACATTTTCATCTGTTCCCTAATTATCTCTTGTTTCCAAAAGGGTCCATTTTTCTGTTCATCCCTCTCTTACACAGCTGGTTTCCCTCTTGGGACTGAGTAGTTTCAGCTATCCGCTCATTGGAGAACAAAGGACTGAATTGAGTTTCTTTGGCTGATGTGTGGGTCTTTATAATAACAGTTTACATCCATAGCACATCCTGCCCTAAATTATAACTATCGATGTTCATCAACTCATTTAGTCCACACAACAGCCCAACAGGGCACACATGAGGTGCCTGAGGACCAGAGAGGCTAAGAATCAGTCTCCAGGTCACATAGCCAGTAGGTATGGAACAGATGAAAGCCAGGCTTCTAGGTTCAGAGCCCAGTGAACTCCTCCATTCTACTCAGTGCCTTTGGGGGAGGGGGGGAGCCGTCTCTTAAAAAAGAAGGGTGAAGGTGCAGCAGTTGGCCCTGTTACACTAGACACAAAGTGTCTTCTTCTTTTTTTTTTTTTTGCAGCTTTTGGCTGGGGCTGGGTTTGAACCCGCCACCTCTGGCATATGGGGTTGAGCCACAGGCGCCACCCCAAACTGTCTTTTTTTGTCATATGTTTGTATTTCAGGGCAGCACCTGTGGCTCACTGAGTAAGGCGCCAACCCCATATACTAAGTGTACCAGGTTCAAACCCAGCCCAGACCAAACTGCAAAAAAAAATAGCCGGGCACTGTGGCGGGGGCCTGTAGTCCCAACTACTTGGGAGGCCGAGGCAAGAGAACACCATGGCACTCTACCCAGGGCAACATAGTGAGACTCTGTCTCAAAAAAAAAAAAAAAAAAATTTCTATTTCATTTCTGTTTTTCATGCCCTGCTCAAAAAGGTCTTCCTTTCCCCAAGATTAAATATGTATTCAGCTGTGATTTCCTTTTGGTGAGATGCTTTTGGTTTCAAAGTATTAAACATTCAAGACTGGATGTGGTAGCTCACACCTATAATCTCCCACTCTGGGAGCCCGAGGCAGGTGGATCACCTGAGCCCAGCAGTTTGAGGTTGCTGTGAGCTATGATGCCACCACACTCTATCCAGGGTTCAGAGTGAGAATCTGTGAAAAATGGAAAAAAATTATAGACATTCAAATCTTTGATTCATAAAAAATTTGTTTTGCTGCAAGAGACAAAGGAGGCAAGCCTGTTTGTTTTCTGAATGGCAGCCAGTGGTCCCCAAACTATTTATTGACTTGCCCCTCAGCACCACCATCATCCTTAAATTGAAATGTTTTCTTTGCCACATACAGCCGTCCATTATTTGTTTATACACTTGGGTCTTTTCATGGGTTCTGATAACTCTAGGGCTAGTGCCTCATGGCGCCAGTGCATTATGTCTTCCTGCAGAATGGGGCTGGCCACTGTTCATTATTCTTCTTTTTAAAAGATGGTTATTTACATATGTTTATCCCAGGTGAATTTTAGAATCTCAAAATTCTGTGGGATTTAGGTTAAGATTGCAGTAAAATTATACATTATTTTTTAGAGAATTGGATGGACGCTGCATTAGTTTTCTATTGCTGCTATAATAAGTGACCACAGCTTAGTGGCTTCAAATAACACAAACTTAGTCTTACAGGGTGGCGCCTGTGGCTGAGTAGGGTGCCAGTGCCAAATACCGAGGGTGGCGGGTTCTCGAACCCGGCCCTGACCAAACTGTAACAAAAAAATAGCCAGGTGTTGTGGTGGGCACCTGTAGTCCCAGCTACTCATGAGGCTGAGGCAAGAGAATCGCCTAAGCCCAAAGAGCTGGAGGTTGCTGTGAGCTGTGACACCATGGCACTCTACTAAGGGTGACAAAAATGAGACTCTGTCTCAAAAAAACCCAAAAAGAACCAAAAAAAACCCACTTAGTCTTACAGTTCTGTAAGCTGGAAGTCTCAATAGGACTCACTGTGTGCTAAAATCAATGTGCTAGGAGGGTTGTGTTCCTTTCTGAGGCTCTAGGGACAGAGTCTCACTCTGTCGCCCTAGGCAGAGTGCCGTGGCATCATAACTCACAGCAACCTGAAACTCTTGGGCTTAGGCGATCCACATGCTTTACACTCCCAAGTAGCTGGGACTACAGGAAGCTTCCACAGCACCCAGCTAATTTTATTTTTAGTAGAGAGGAGGTCTCACTTTTGCTCAGACTGATCTTGAACTTCTGAGCTCAAGTGATCTGCCCACCTCAGCTTGCCAGAGTGCTAGGATTATAGGCAGGAGCCACCGGGCCTAGCCTGAGAATAGTTTTCTTGCCTTCTTCAGGTTGTAGAGATCACCTGAATTCCCTGGTTTGTGCCCCCTTCCTCCCTATCCAGCCATCTTTCTGGTCCTCCCTTTTCCCCACTCAGGGCTCCTGTGATCACATATCACAGGCACACCCAAATAACTTTGATATGGGGACCCACATGTCCCCATATTAAAGTTGGCTAATTAGCAACCCTGATACCACCTGCCATGTCTGATGAAGTTCCTTTGCTGAGTAAGAGAACATGTCCACAGCCTCCAGGAATTGGGATGTGGACATCTTTGGGGGCCATTGGTCTGTCTGACACAGATACAATCATGAGTTTTCCTGTAGAAGAACAACGTTCTATTCAAATCTTTTATGTTCTTTGGCAGTTTTGTAGTTTTATTCAAACAGGTCCCACACATTTCTTCAGAATTTTATTCCAGTTACTTTATAACTATCTGTGACTCAAATTTTCTCTCTCCATCTTTCAATGTGGCTTTCTTGCATAGAGAAAAGCCAGTCCAGGGACAGGCAAATTTTGTATCCATTTAAGTGTTACATTAGTTGATTTATTCTCCAAATCTCTTTGTTGTTTTATTTTGGCTTTCTAAACATTAACTTTTCCTTTTGGAAATTTAAACTATTTATATTTCTCTTGCCTATTTGCTGTGTTAAATGATAGTTGTCATGAATCAGAATAGGAATGCTTCCAGGATTTCATCGTCAAATGTGAGTCTGACCTTTGAGCTAAGATAGTTCATAGTTTTTATCATAGTAAGGAAAGCAGATACTTTTAAACACAAAATAACCTCCCTGGGCAGTTTCTATGGGGAGAAATCCCCGCAGTGCTAATAGACCAAGCCTAGAATGTGTGTGGCCTGCAAGCCTTCTGTCTCCATGGCTGAGCGTGTATGTGCCTGCTTGTGGTGGGGGGCTCTCTCCCCACCTTTCTTTGGTCCTGCTCCACCCCCACCCTGCCAGAGACCTGCTGGCCCCTCCCCTCCTCCCAGGCCTCACTTTCCTCCCTAGGATCAATGGTCACCCTGGGAAGTCCACACGCTTGGCAGGTCTGTGGAAGCTGGAGGAGGTCAGTGCTGAGGCCTTACTGCCCCGTCCCTGAGCTACCTTCCCCTCGCACCCCTGCCCGAACCCCTGCCCCCACAGCCCCCTCAGCACCCTGCCCTCTTGCCCACGCAGTGCCATCTCAGTGGCTGCATGATGGACCTGTTCGTGCAGATGGCCATCATCATGGGTCTCAAGCAGACGCTCAGCAACTGCATGGAGTACCTAGGCCCGTGAGCGCCAGCCCACCCTGCCCTGCTCCCCTATCCCTCCCTCAGCCCATGCCTCTTGGAGCCCACTGGTTGTCCTTGGCCCCCCCCCCAGGTGGCTGGCCCACAGGTGGCGCTCCCTGCCATCCTTGGCCTCTGGGAGAGTGACCCAGGATCCTGAGCTCAGGAACTGGCAGCGCAACTACCTCCTGAACCCAGTGAACACCTTCAGCTTATTCGATGAGTTCATGGAGATGAGTGTGTAGGGCGTGGGGGCTGCGGGTGTGGGAGGCCCTGGGGTTCTGGGGTTGCAGGGCTGGGGTGCCAGAGGCAAGGGGCACAGGGTTCAGGGGTGGGGGACAGGGACATGGGGACCCGAGCATGGGGAGCAGGGAGCACAGGGGCCAAGGGGCTGGGAGCTGGGGGCGCAGGGAGCAGGTGCTGGGGGTGGGGTGGGGAGTGTCCCAGGATGGGGAGCGTCCAAGGATAGGACGCCCTGCCCTGCCCTAGAGTGGGTCCCCCCACCCCCTAGTGATCCAGTATGGCTTCACCACCATCTTCGTGGCTGCCTTCCCACTGGCCCCACTGCTGGCGCTCTTCAGCAACCTCGTGGAAATCCGCCTGGATGCCATCAAGATGGTGCAGCTGCAGCGGCGTCTGGTACCTCGAAAGGCCAAGGACATAGGTCAGAGCCCGACAGGGATGGGAGGCTGGGAGGGCCAGTGGCTGGGGCTGGGCAGCTTCTGACCCCTGATACATGTGGGGAGAGGAAGAGAGGTGTGAGGGAGGCCCCCAGTCTTGGGCCCAGGTTAAGGGGTTCAGCGGCTCTGGGGTGGGGACATAGGAGATAGAACAGGTTTGGAGGCAGCGGCTGAAAAGTTCAGGCAGAAGCAGGGACACAGCTTCAGGGACACCTGAATCCCCTCTGTCCACATCAGGACAGGGGGAGGGGGGACAGGACTGCTGAGGCTATATCTGTGCTCGGCTGTCCTAATAATGCATACCTTGAGCCCATGGCTGCAGTGGGGTGCCAGGGACACACATGACAAGGTCCTTTGGCCAGCCAGAAGAGGAGTCACACTGGCTTACCCACTACTCTGGGCACAGGGACCTGGCTGCAGGTGCTGGAGACCATCGGTGTTTTAGCCGTCATTGCCAATGGGATGGTCATCGCCTTCACATCTGAGTTCATCCCCCGAGTGGTCTACAAGTACCGCTATGGCCCATGCAGCCAGGGGACCCACCCTGCAGTGGAGTAAGCCCTCAAGCTGTCTGGGAGAAACTGGATCTGCCAATATCACTTGGGGCTGAAGTGAGGTTGGGGCCCTGGGGGTGGCCCTGCCCTGCTGACTCTGCTCCTCTTTGCCCACATTGACCTGCAGACCCTGGCTGGAGTTCAGGGATAAGGGATAGGGTCCCTAGCCAGGGGTGAAGGTTCCAGCCCCAGCTGTTTTCTGAGCTGGCACTACCAAAATGGTCCACTTCCAAGTCCAGCTGCGTGTCCTGCTTCTGGCCTGGGTGGGTAGGGCAGAGTCTTATCCAACTCCTCTGGCCCAAGGTCCACCACAGCTGCAGACCAAGTCTCCAGAGGGTCAGCTCTTCAGAATAGTGGCTGGAAAGGTGACTGGTAGTATCTCAGAGGCCCCCCTGGGGTGACAATGTCCTTAACCAGAAGGCTCTCTCCTGTGTAGGAAAATAGAGCAGGTGATCTGATTGCCCCCACTAAGGCTAGTTAGCTCCAAGAAAGCACCCAGTGGCCTGAGGGAGCTACACCCTGAAGCCTATACTCATTCCTCTCCCCTCTCCCCAGCTGCCTCACAGACTATGTCAACCACAGCCTGTCCACCTTTGACACCAAGCACTTCCAGGACCCTGTTGGAATACAGGGCTCAGAAAATGTGACCGAGTGCAGGTATAGAATCTGGAATCCCCCATGAATGGCCTCTGAACTCCTGAACCCTGACCTCCAGCACTTCCCTACCAAAGGTACCGTGACTATCGAAATGGCCCCCCTGACTACAACTTCTCTGAAAAGTTCTGGTTCCTCCTGGCCATCCGACTAGCCTTTGTCATCCTCTTTGAGGTGAGCCAGAACTGGGGCCCCTGAGTCGGGGGTGAGAGGTGGTTCTCTTTCCATCCTCTTCCCTGGCCTCCAATCCCAGGATTGTCCTGACCTTGCTGGGCCCCTCCTGCCCTGCCCCCAGCACATTGCCTTGTGCATCAAGCTCATTGCCGCCTGGTTCGTGCCTGACGTCCCCCAGTCAGTGAAGAACAAGGTTCTGAAGCAAAAGTATGATGTTTTGGAGCAGAAGTATTGGAGACTCCGGGAAAGGATATGGAATGGGAGGATGGGCTGGGTGGGGGTGGGCCGTGCCCCCACCTCCTGCACCAGCACCAGGAGCACAGAGGTGTGAGGGACCAGAGGCACCAGCCACCAGGAGCTGACATATAGAGCCACAGCTGAGTCTCCCACACCACTCAGCACTGTGTGCATGCTGAGGGGTGCCAAGGGGACGCTGTGCATATGAGGGATCACAGAAGTGCTATGTGTGTTTGGGGCATCTGTACACAGCAAGTCTATGGGTCTTGTTCCATCTGAGGGCTCAGGCCTGACTTGAACCCTGGGGTGTCCCATCACCCACAGACCTGAGGGGGCTTCTCATGCTGTCACTATGCAGAAAAGATGCAAAAGATTCTTGGGCTTCCCTCAGACTTCTGAGCCCCAGTCACTGCCTTGGCCCCCTCCTGGTGGGGTAGGGTGGGGAGGCTAGACACCCTCTATGGACACCCTTGGCCAGCAGAAGTTTTTCTGTAATAAAATCAAACTTGTTTGTGCATGATTTCTGGGGCCCACTGGACTTAGTTTGCCCTCAGGGCTAGGTGGGAAACTGAGGCCAGCCTGGAATGTGGTAGGTAGTTTCAGGCCCCTTGTCCCTCCACTGGTTTTCCTTGGGGTGTGCCTTACTGAGATCCGACACTTTCTGCACCTGGAGTTTGAGGTGGCAAAAGAAGGGGTGTCAGGGTTGGTTGGGGCGAGTGGGGGCCAAGATAGGCTTCCTGGAAGGCAAGGAAGAGCTGGGAGATGAGTGGCAGGACCACAAAGGCGCCACTGGGGATGGTGGACTCTCCTGGGCTGGTTGAGCCGGATTGGCCACTGCCCCAGGCCCAGGCCGTGGTTCCTGGGGCTGAGCGCTGGACAGGCTCCAGCGCCAGCCTCAGGCGCAAGCCGGACACTTGGGGCCGCCCTCACCCTGGCTGCGGGGCGGAGCCGCACCTGCAGCAGCCGGGCTGTCGCCGCTGCGCACCTGGCTCAGGTGAGCTACCCCGCCCTGGCAGCAGGTGACTGACTGGCAGTCGTGACTCAGACCCACGGAGGTGAGTGGAAGTGGCCATCCTTCCGGAGCTGCTCTAGGCCTAGAGCTGGGGGCCCCGGGCGCGGTCCCGCAGGAAGCGGCTCCGAGCCAGACAGGATCCCCAGTCGCCCGGAAGCCCGAGCTTGCCCGCGTCCCGGCCCCTTCGAGGTCTCGGGGGAAGGGGGGGGGGCTCCTTTCCGCTCTGCCCGACTTGGTCCGTGGCTTCCTGGTGAACTCTCAGCACAGAAAAGCGAAGGGGCGAGGAGCGGCGAGGCCCGCAGGGACTCCATCTCCTCCCCGCAGGCCTGGACCCCAGGCCCGAGGCTTCCTGAGGAGTTGGCGCCGGACAAACAGGCTGGGACCAGGGTTCGCCGGGCGCCAGCGGAGCTTCCGCCATCCGCGCCGCTGCCCTCGGAGCGCAGAGACCAGCCATCCGCGTCCCCGCCTCGGTGCGCGCCCCCATGCACGGTTCGCGCACTCCTGCCCTCTGTGCGCGTTCCCGACCCGCCTGCTCGCCGCACCCGGAGGGTGTGGAGTACCAAGGCGGTCCCTCTCCCCCAAGTGGAGCGGAGCGCGGGAGGTGGAGCGTGCGAGCGGGAGAGCTGGTTATCGGGGGTCGGGAGAGCGAGACCGAGCCCTTCGTCCGCGAGGCTGCAGCCTTTTACGCATGTTCCATCCCTCAGGAAAGACGTGAGGGTGGCGCGTCCGAAACAAGAGGGAGACACGCGAGATTGCGGGTGCCGAGCAGCGAGCCAGCCCGGGTGGGGGATGGCACAGCGAGGGCGGGTCAGAGGAGCCAGGCGGTCAGGGAGACCTTCCCCGCGCCGAGCGTGCAGGGCCCGAGGTCAGCAGATTGAGGGCAGAGGAGCTAACGCTTTCTAGGAATGACAGAGTGTGGTGTGCAGTGCAGGGTGACCGAGGGGCCAGGCTCGTACTTCGATTCTGGTCGTTCTGGGGAGTGGACTTAGGGGCAGGGAGCAGAGTAGGACAGAGCGGTGGGCATTAACAAAGGGACACGTCAAGCCGTGTCAGACAGCCCTGGGAGATGGTCATGGTCTAGGGCACAAACTGGAGAGTCTCGCAGACCTTCAGGCCTCTGCACTTCCTGCCTCGGTGTTCCTCAGTTTCCTAGCCTGCAGTGTGGGGGACACGGCCTCCCTTCTTGAGAAGGGGTATTGGTGCTCAGGAGGGCCCACCAGGCACCTTTAAGGAGGGCAGGGACATCTCCAAAGTGTGCAGAGGGAGCTAAGGCCTGTGAGGTTGGGGTGCTGCCTCCTCAACTCTTTCCCAACTTGAGCCCAAGGTGCACTTTGACCTGAGGGTTGAGCACTAGGCCACAGGAGAGTCTGAGCAGGGCTGAGGATGTTCAGAAGTTGCTGCTCCAGGGTCTTCCTCTGCTGGGCTCAGCCAGGGACAGGGAGACTGGGAAGGGGTATTGGTGTTTAGGAAGGCCCACCAGGCACCTTTAAGGAGGGCAGGGACATCTCCAAAGTGTGCAGAGGGAGCTGAGGCCTGTGGGGTTGGGGTGCTGCCTCCTCAGCTCTTTCCCAACTTGAGCCCAAGGTACACTTTGACCTGAGAGTTGAGCACCAGGCCACAGGAGGGTCTGAGCAGGGCTGAGGATGTTCAGAAGTTGCTGCTCCAGGGTCTTCCTCTGCTGGGCTCAGCCAGGGACAGGGAGACTGGAGGGGATCCCTGTCTTATACAGTGGGTAATACTAGCCCCTTGTCACTGGGACCTGACTCCTAGATCAATGGGGGTGCCAGTGGTGACAACAGGAGATGCCGGCTGCCCCTTGTCTTGCTCAGAGGCAAGAGCCTGAGCCATGGCTGTCTGCATTTGCTTCCTTATCTGGAAAGGGCACTGCCCCCTCAGCCCAGCCCACCCAACCTGAAGCTAAGGTCCATAGGATATCACAGCTTCTTGCGGCCACTCACTCATTTTGGAGTGTAGGTATGAGTCAACCTAGGCATTCAATGACTGATAGAGAAGGACAGCTATGCCTGGGAGATGGACAGAGGGCAGAAGAGCCCTGCTGGAGGCCCCACTATTGACTGGGAACTTCTGAACCTGGCCTCCCCACCCCCTACAGGCTGGTAGAGCAACATGGATGACCCCTCCCCAGTTGAGTGTTGACTAGCCTCATGGAGTATCCAGGAGGCAGCTTGCACTGCCCCCTCCTTGTGTGTGCAGGACAATCCTTCTGGGGGTCTTGTTGTCAGAACCCCCATGCATACTGAACGAAGGGAAGTGCAGTGCCAACGTGGGCTGCACGGGCCCCAAAGGAAGGAGCTGACTGACTCAGCTACAGGAAGAACAGGGGCAGGCGTGGTGAGAACCACCAACTGCAGGGGAAGGGGTGGGTGCCTGGGTGGGGTTTAAGTTTAGGAGAGGATGTGACTGCAAGGTCAGGAAGCCACAGGGGAAAGTTCTGACTAAAATATACGTAAACAAAAGCCAAGTCCTCACTGTGCTCGGTGGCAGATCCCTGACAGCTGTGGTGCTGTGGACACTGCTTGGGGCCTAGCCCAGTAGAGAGTTTGCTTCCAAATGCACATCCGGGATTACTCCCCCCACCCCAGGAAAGAGTTAAAACCTGGTGAAGATGCCCTTCCTGTGTCAGCGCCTGTCCTTACAACTGGACCTGGTGATAGGAGGCCTACAGCACACAGGGAACACACCTGCATGTGTATGCACACATACGTGAGAATGAGGGCAGCAGAAGGCTGCCAATGTGGCACTGGCAACCAAGGGTAGGTTTGAGGTACAGTGTGGAGACTTAGGATGCTTGTGTCCCTACACTTTTTGAGAGAAGTTCCAAGTATCCTGTGTGCGAAGGAGGCATAGAGGGTGTGTAGTAGGACGTGTGCTGTGTGGAGTCTGCTAGAGTGCACATAGGCTGAGCCTGGGGTTCAGTGCAGGTGTGCATGGGCCAGAGGGTTGCTTGTACCAGGGTATGCAGAGGAAGAGTGCAAGGAAGGGTGCAGGGGAGAGGGTATAAGAAGGGTGTACAGAGAAGGGGTGAAAAGAGAGGGTGCAGGGGAGGGTGTGCAGGGGAGAGAATGCAAGAACAGAGGAGGGCTGCAGGGGAAGAGGGTGCAGAGGAAGGTGGTGGGAGAGGTGCAGGGGGACATGTGCAAGGGAGTGTACCTGATGCTTGCTGTGTTTATATCCTGACACTGTGACCTCAACTTCCAGAAGGGTCTGAGGCTGCCCTTGCAGGGTTCCAGGTCTGAGTTGGGGAGTGGGGGAATTGAGAGACCACTGCAGGTGGTTGCACAGGGGAGTGTCTCTTACAGCCCCTTAATGGGCAGTTCTCCTGCTTCAAAGACTTTCCTAGGGCTGTCTTCTACCCCAAAGGGTTTCTGGAAGGACCCCTTACTAGTGCCCCAGGGAGCATGCCTGAGGCTCTATCAGTTCCCCAGGAAATGTCAGCTCAGCCAAGTTCACTGTGCCTCCCCCTGTGCAAAAGGAACAGTTACTGTTTAACTCCCTACCAAAGCCCCTGGGGCCCAATCCCTGAGGTCCCCTCCCAATGTGTCCACCCAGCAGGGACAATAAGAAGTTCCCATGGGAGAAGCAGGGTGAACCTAGAGTACCCAGGAAGGAGAGGACCCTCAGGGCCCCAGGCACCTCCTTTTGCAGCCACATCACTGCAGAGTTCTATAGGTCACAAGAGACATCAGGGCTGGGAATCATCTTGGGCCCTGTGTAGAAGCATCACCTCTTGGTGGGTATGGACTTCCCATGGAGAACTGGACAGAACAATGTAGACAAAAGCCTCTGGGTTTGGACGTGACAAGTCAGGTTACAAAGAGGGCACGGCACAAGGATCCAGAAGAAGGGATGGCTGTTAGGCCCTTCAGAGTGGCCTCTGTCTCAGCCTGGCCCTGTTTACCCCTCCTACCTCCAGGACCTCAGGGCATAGTTGAGCTCAGGGTGTCTGTAGGTGTCCCCAATCTGCATGCATGTGTGGATTCGTGACCGAACTGAGAACAAAACCCCACAGTTGGGAGCAAGTGTGGGCCAGAGCCAGGCAACTAGGCACCTGCCCTGCAATGGGGGGCACATTGCTTATGCCCTGCCCCCAGGGCCTGCCTGTCGTAGGCACTGCAGCATGGACACTGCAGCACCCACCCTCATGTGATAGCCCAACTGCAGGAGACAGTCAGGAGTGAGACCAATGGCCACCTTATGAGATGGGTCCTCCTGGTGCATGTCCACTGCGCCCCTGACATCATGGTGGCCCCAGGGTGCCCTGAGATCCTGGAGGCAGAAGCGGTAAACAGGGACAGGCTGAGACAGAGGGTTGTCCTGCACCCCGGGGCCCACATGAGGTGATCCCCATTCTGGTCTTGTGTAAGGGGCTTGAGGCAACATCAAGCTGGTTCCTGGAAGTTCCACTGGTGGCTGTGAGGCTGGTAGGGTGGCATCTGGTGCAGGGCCAGTGCTCCCTGAGGCCAACAGTTACTGGTTAACTCATCCTGTTCCTGTTTAACTTGTTCCCTGTGGATGGCGGCAGCCTCTGACCCATCCAGGTGCTGTGCCCTGTCCAACTGACCACAAGGACAGAGAGGTGTCCTGCCAGCCCTTGGTGAACTAGTCTGCTCTGCAAAAGAGCCCTGTGGAGCTGGGGTGGCACCAGTCCCCAGCCTTCTGAAGGAGGCCCTGGTCAGAGCCATGGCAGGTAGGCAGGTCAGAGGGGGACAGGTGTGAGTTCCCACTCCCACCTCTGCCCCTGAGGCCGCTTCACACCACACTTCCTGCTCTTACCCTAGGCTCTCTGCTTGGCTGTGTGCCGGCACTGTAGCCTTTGCTCTACCCTCCCTCCTGGCCTTTGGTCCTGAACCAAAGGGCTGGTGGTGTGGGTGGGCCCTCTACTACCCAAGGTCTCCAGACCAAGCTCATGGAGGTCAGTAAGGCCCAGGAATGGCAGGAGTGGGTACTCCTGGGCTCCCACCCTGATTCAAAGATGAGTGTTCTGGCCTTAGGGAGGTGGGGAGGGCTTGCATGTGGCCAGGAGCAGAGGGGCCCTGAGCCCCAGGCTCCCAGCTCTTCCCCAGTGGAAGGTGCTGGCACACTCAGCACCTGAGCCCCCAAACCCCGCCATGCCCACACCCCTTGCAGCAGAGGCAGGTGGGCTGAGGGTGCAGGATTTAGCCCTCCTATAGACAGGACATCATGGTATCACTGGGGTGGACAGCAGGTGCATGTGAGAAATGGGGAGCTGGATGCATGTCTTGAGTGGACCAGCATCCAGATGGGCCTCACGCAGTGGGGCTGGGTTGGTTTCACTGTGACCCTGGCTGGCCATTGCCCTCCCCCCACCATGAGTGTACCCTCTGAGCATAGGGCAGTCACAGGCAGGGCAAGCAGAAGGGGAAGAAGTGCAGGCTCCTTCCCGTGGTACTCATGACAGATGTGGTGTGACTACCAGGCCACTCATGACTTGCCACCTTCTTCCTATACCACAGAACTTCTGGGACCAGTGGGGGCTGGCATCCTGGCATGTTTACCTGCTGTTTCCTCTCTCTTCAGGTGTCTGTGACAGGGCCCCTGACTTCCTCTCCCCCTCTGAAGATCAGGTCCTGAGGACTGCCCTGGGCAGTGCTGTTGTTCTGAACTGTACAGCTTGGGTGGTCTCTGGACCCCACTGCCCCCTGCCCTCAGTGCAGTGGCTGAAAGACAGGCTTCCACTGGGCAATGGAAGCCACTATGGCCTTCACAGGGACTCCTGGTAAGAGACTGAGGTGCCTAGGGTTAGTGGGACCACCTGTACAGACCCAGGGCCAGCAGCCTCTCTGATGTATATACCCTGGGCATGGGCCAGGTACTGACTGGCCAGACATGCCATGGATGAGGTGTTGCCATGGACACAGGCAGAGGGTTGGTGACTCCAGGGACAGATCTTGGGGGTTGCACGGCCCTTAGAGACTCCCCAGAGCTGTGGGTATCAGCAGAGCGCTAGAGTTTGAGTGAACACCAACCAGCAGCCAAGACAGGGATCAGGAGACCCTCAGGCCCCAGGCCCAGGATTGGGGTGACTGTTCTGAAGCAGATCCATATTTCCTCCAGGTTCTGGTCACTTCTATTAGCTTATGGCCCAAGAACCACTGGGGAAGTCTCATCTGTGGCCTCCCTGGGAGAGTCTATACAGGTGGGGCTCTGGGGCATCTGCTGATGTTCCCAGGCTCCAGGTGACAGAGTGGGGCTTGGTATCCCCAGGGTCAATTCTAACTTGTCTGAGATGCTCGTGTCCAGTGTTCTGGGGGTCAACTTGACCAGTACAGAGGACTACGGAGCTTTTGCCTGTTCCATCCAGAACGTCAGCTCCGCCTCCTTTACTCTGCGAAGAACTGGTGATGAGGGTCCTGGGGGTGGGGTGGGGGTCTCGGAGTCCAGGGATCTGAGGCTGGATGGTGCTAGGGGCAGTGGCTCAGGCAATCTCCCGGCCCCCATAGACTCAGCAGGCCACGTAGCAGCCGTGGTGGCCTCTGTCCTGGTCCTGCTGACTTTGCTACTGGCCGCAATACTCTACATCAAGTGCCGCCTCAACGTGCTGCTCTGGTACCAGGATACGCACGGGGAGGTGGAGATGAACGGTGCGCAGGGTACACGCGGGCGGGTGGATGGGGTCAGGCGGGCTCCGGTCTGCGTGTGGGGCTAAGGGCGGGGAGGCTTCATCCCTGGGGGTCTCGGTGAGGCCCAGGAGGATGCAGAACTGGGGATAGCAGAAGGACCTGTGTCGGGGTGGGGAGTCGAAACGCTGGCGCTGACCGGTCGCCGCCCACAGACGGGAAGCTCTACGATGCCTACGTCTCCTATAGCGACTGCCCAGAGGATCGCAAGTTCGTAAATTTCATCCTGAAGCCGCAACTGGAGCGGCGTCGGGGCTACAAGCTCTTCCTGGACGATCGCGACCTGCTACCGCGCGCAGGTACAGCCCCGCCCCAGCTCCCCGCAGGCCCCGCCCTCCAGGTCCCGTCCCGGCTTCCCTCAGGCTCCGCCCAAGCTACCTGCAGGCCCCGCCCAGGCTCCCGCAGGCCCCGGCCCCGTCCCAGCTCCCCTCAGGCCCCGCCCTCCAGGTTCCGCCCCGGCTCCCCACAGGCCCCGCCTTGCCGGCCGCGCCCAGGGCCTGGGCCCGCCCAAGCCCTTCCGTGCCCGCCCTGCCCCTCTGACACCCGGGTTCCCGCAGAGCCTTCAGCGGACCTGCTAGTCAACCTGAGCCGCTGCCGGCGCCTCATTGTGGTGCTGTCGGACGCCTTCCTTGGCCGGGCCTGGTGTAGCCACAGCTTCCGGTGGGTCCCGCGCGGGGTCGGGTGGGCCCCCGCCGCGCCCCTCCTGACGGTCCCGCCCCTCAGGGAGGGCCTCTGCCGGCTGCTGGAGCTCACACGCAGACCCATCTTCATCACCTTCGAGGGACAGAGGCGCGACCCCGCGCACCCCGCGCTCCACCTGCTGCGCCAGCACCGCCACCTCGTGACTTTGCTGCTCTGGCGGCCCGGCTCCGTGGTGCGGGGGCTCAGAGTCTGGGGGCGTGGGGGCGGTGTTAGCCCTGGGGATGGGGACTTTGTGAGTGGTGCCTCGAGTGGGGTTTCGGGGCCTGTCCCCAGGGAAGGAAGCGGGTGGTGCAGGGTGTGGGAACTTGCGGGCTGCTGCACACAGTGCTCTTTGGGGCCAGGGTGGCACGGGGCTTCCATTTGCACCTCCTCCCGTGTGTTCACATGCAAATGGCCCAACCTGGCCCCCAGACGCCTTCCTCCGATTTTTGGAAAGAGTTGCAACTAGCGCTGCCACGAAAGGTGCGGTACAGGCCAGTAGAGGGAGACCCCCAGACTCGGCTGCAGGACGACAAGGATCCCATGCTAATAGTTCGGGGCTGTGTCCGGGAAGGCCGGGCCTTGGACCTGGAACTGGACCTTGACCCTGAAGGAGACCTGGGTATGTCCACCCAGCCCACTCCTGACCTGAGCAGCTCGGCCTGGGGTGGATGGGGCAGGCATAGGGCAGAGGGTTCAGAAAAGGACACTTTCCTGCATGGACCACCCTTAAGGCCGGTGGACAGGCCTGCCTGCAAACTTTGTGAACCTCACATGGCCCCACAGCAGGGGGGTGAACAGGGACTGACCCCAAGGTGGTGACTCCTGGGATAGGAAGGCTGTGGACAGCACAGCCTCAGGTGTCCCGTATCCCCTCCCCAGGTGTCCGAGTACCTGTCTTTGGGGAGCCATCAGTTCCACCACATGCAAGTGGGGTCTCACTGGGAGAGGGCAGGGGCAGCGAAGTGGACGTCTCAGACCTGGGCTCCCGAAACTACAGTGCTCGCACGGACTTCTACTGCCTGGTGTCTGAGGAGGATGTGTAGCCCTCATCCCACCTTGGGTCACAGCATTACCAGGGACATATGGGGGCTGAGGCAAGTGGGTCATGTCTGTGATAGGATGGGCCAGGACCACAGCCTGTAGCCTGGTCTCTCAGGAAGGGGAGTGGCCTGAGGTTCCTCCCAGTGCCAGAAAATAAAGTTGTCTTGGATTCTGCCTGGACCTTGTTATCCTCTCCTGGGTGGGACAGGCCTGCACAGCTCTTCAGAGCACCCTCAGCCTCCCCTTGGCCTGCCTCCGGGCTCAGCCGGCCCGGTCTATACTTTTCTCATCTCTGCCATCCAGTCACCATCTGCCTGTCTATTCAAATCTACCCTCTCATCCTCCTCCATCCTAAGCCAGCTCAGGCATGTCCCTTGCAGCAGCCTCTTATAGTCTCCTTGCCTGGCCCCTGATTGGGCATGTGGCATCCCCAGTTCTCCTCTGGTCTGGACACATCCTGGAGGGTGACAAGGCCCCTTAGAGACCTCAAGTTCTGAGGGTCACGGGAGCTTTTTGTTGTAAAGATACAAATAGTAGCTTCATAATCACATGGACTGACTCTGGGTATCATGGGTAGGGGTGTCCCAAAGCCTACTGGCCCCCAGGGCTCAGTGGCCAGTGTAAGAACTGCTGGCCAAGGCCTCTCCAGGCCCAGGTGGGCAGAGAGGGTATTTGTGCCTTTGCCACATGAGTACAGTGCACAGGGCAGCCCTCCTCAGCTCCTCTGCTGTATTCGTGCCTGGGGAGCACTGAGGCTGTCTCTGTTGTCCATCTGTCCCCTCTGCCCTGCAGTGCCAGATCTCCTTCTGCTGGACACTCTCTCCCTGTCTTGGGTCCTCAGACCTTGGGAGGCTTGTGTGTGAGCTCAAGGGTGAGTGTCCTATGGTCAGGCAGGTATGATAGGAAACACTGCAAGTCCCAGGATTGGCCACCCAGCTGTGGAAGTGTGTGGGGCATTGGCTGTCTTCATTGCCATCTTTATTCCCAGTGCTGACCGTCCTGGGGCAATGCCCCACCTCTGCCAATATCCCCAGTTCACCACCCCATGCACCCAAGCTGCCACAAGCCCTGCCCCACCCCCTGCCCTGCAAAAGCCAAGTCCCCAGCTATGAGGCCCCCCCTCCCAGGGGCAGAGGCCTTGCAAATTGCACAGGGCCACAATAAGAGGCCCTTTGGGTGGCAGCCTTCTCTTCCAGGCCAGGCTGGCAAGTGACCACAGCTGAGCCTGTCCCTCGGAGATTGGGCCACATCACTTCTCCTCCTCCATGAGGTCTTGCTTATGGGCCCAGGAAGTCCTCCTTGCGATAGCCCTTCTGTGGTGGAGGGGGCTGGGAGTCAGGGTGTATGCCTGCCTGCCGGTACAGCCCTGTGCCCCATTTTCCTACATGGTCTGCTGGGCCTAGCATAGACCCTTTGTTCCTGGATCTTTGGTCTCCACCCTCCCAGGGTCCTCTTCCTGGGCCTCTTGTTCCACATGAGTTTCCATGTCCCATTCTGACATCCCATTCCAGCCACCCAGGACCCACATGCTGCTCGCTCTGGGCAGGAGGAACATACCGCCCGGAAGTCACGGTGGAGCTTGTTGTACTGCCACAGGTTGGCCAAGAGGCTTGAGGCCGCCCGGGAGGACTTATCACTGTCAGGACTGAGGGTGGGGGCAGCAGGTGATGGAGGGCCAGAAGGCTAGGTGGGTGAGAAAGCCCCACCAGGCTGCTGTAGGATGCATGGCATAGAGCACAAGGTCGAGTAGGCTCACCTGTCTCGCTTCTTCTTGATGAAGATGAGTTTCCGGAGCCCATCAAAGTAGAGCAGGTCTCGGGCAGCGATTGGACTGGCCACCACCAGGTTGTTGAGCACAGCTATGATGTTGACCAGGACTTCAGCTGGGGGCGATTTCTCACCCACACTGCCAGGGAGCTTCTCAATTAGGTGACTCACTACCTTCGTGGCTGCAGGGGAGTCGGAGGGGTCAGTCTTCACCCTGACTCCTGCTGTTTCCCCTAAGGCCAGCCTAGCTGGGGCAATAGTCTGACTCACACATCTCATCCTTGTTCCTGGCGTTCCGAGACAGATTCCGGATGAGGCCAGTCAGCGAGCGCAGCTGGTGGTGGTCTGCAGTTCGGACACGGTCCAGCAGGGGGTTCAGGATGCGCTCCTGCTCCAGGGCCAGGCGGCTCAGCACGCCGGCCCACTGTGGGGATAGGCTGTGAGGGGAAGGCCCTCTGACCCCTGTGCCCAGCCAGAGGTCTTGGGCACAATGGCTTCTCTGACTCCTGCTGCCCCAGCCAGGGCCCCAGAGGACTTGACCCAGCTCAGGAGCCCCCCTCCAAGTGGCAACCCAACCTCACAGGGCCCATTCCCCATGCTGACCTCAGGGGACCCCTCTTACCAGGCCTCAGGCCCCTGCTCTGTGACCTGCTGCCCCTTCCTCACAGACTGTGACCCTGGGCAAGCTCTGCCCATACCCTCCACCCCAGCTGAGGCCCACCCTGCGATCGCCCGCTGTGATGTTCTGCAGCGCCCCTGCCGCCGCCTCTGTCGTGTGGCGGTTGAGCTCACAGCGCTGCAGCAGCCGGTTGTACAGCCCTACAATCTGGGGGCTCCACAGCCACTCCAGGCCCTTGGGGTCCTTGGACACCTCCGCGAAGGTGAGCGCATCGGCTGTCAGCGGCAGCTGGTGGGGAGACACTGAGGGTCAGTAGGTTGGGGACCAGCTACCCATGCCCATCCACCCAGGCCCAGGCCCACCTCCTGCAGCCTCCGGCTCTGTGGTGTGAAGCAGCCTACCACCTCGCCTGGTGGTACCCCTGCTAGGTCCCTACGGCCCCGGCCCTCAAGCCTCTGTAGGGCAGACGGTGGCATCTCATCGTACAGGCGGTAGGACAGGTTCCGCAGCACACACACTGCATTCTCCACGCTCTGTGGGGTGGGGGCAGAAGGTCAGAGGGAGCCCTGGATGTACTCAGGCCCCCTCATCCATCAGCCCTCACCTTGTCCTCGCACTTGCCCACATCCAGGGCGTGGTTGATGTAGGTGACCAGGGCGTCCACCAACCCGTGACACTCGCGCATCTTCTGGCGAGTGGCCTGAGAGGCTGAGCTGAGGTTCCTAGGGACCAGGGCAGGTCAAAGCCCCAGGTCAGCCACCCTTGGGTGCTGACCCATCCATTCCCTAGCTGAGCTGGCCAGGTCCCTCCCTGCCTCCCCTTCCTGGTACTGCTGCCCACCCCTCCCCAACCCACTCTTTATGGCATGTGGGCAGCTGAGAAGCCAGATCAGGTCCTAGATTTCACGGACCCTGAGCCTGCAGCCCCCATGTACACTGACACCTAACACAGCCACACCTTGTGGCCACATCTGGCCTGTCCCAAGTCTTGGCTCAGCCCCTGCATTCTTCTGACTGTGGGCTTCTCCCACCCCTTCTGTCTAGGTCCACCTTGTCCTTCTGGCACCTGAGGAAACCAGTGGCATTATAGAAGATCTCGGCCTCAGATGCACTCTGCTGGATGAGGGGGGGACCACCAGCCCCTGACAGTGGGCTCAGCACCAGGTCTGTGAGTTGCTCCAGTGTGTCACGGGCCAGGCGGTCCTTCAAGTTGTCACTGGATGAAAGGTTCCACAGAATACCTGGGCAGATGGGGTCAGGGCTGCTGTCAGACTCTGCCCCACTGTGCCCTTTGGTTTTCTGGGGATGGTGTGGTGGAGGATCCTTATGCCCACCAGGGCTTCCCTGGGGTGTTATGCTTTATCCAGAAACCCCTATGGGGAGACATTGAGTGGCTTCTGGAGTTACAGGGATGGGTCCAAGCAAGAGAGAACAATACTGGGGGTTGAGAGGCCCTAGGGGTGGAGGGGGCTCCAAGAGACACAGCCAAAACAGAGTTGTTGGGGACCTGTAACAGAGACAAAGTCCCAAGGAGAGCAAGAATGAGGACAGCCAACAGAGAAAGGAACAGAAAGGCAAAGGGAAGGAAGGAAACATGGTGGGGTAGAGGAGGCAGACAGAGGAGGGCACTGGCAGAGGAGGGACACAGCAAGAGGGAGAGACAGGTGAAGAGGGGACAGGTAAAGGAGAGAGATGGGGTTGGTGGAAAGGACAGGTGGAGAAGGAATAGGTGAAGGTGGCAGACAGCTACAGGGAGGGACAGGTGGAAGGAGACTGGTGGAGAAGGAGGAGGAAGAGAGCTGGAGAGAGGGACAGGTGGGGGGGAGGCCCAGAGGGGCAGCAGGGGGCCAGGCAGAGGAGGGATGACGGGTAAAACAGTGGGTACAGTCGGGGGGGTCAGTGGCACCTGTGACGTTCTTGCGCAGCTCATCATCCTGCTCCCGCAGTGTCCGAAGCAGCTCAAATATCCCGTTTTCCTCCACTAGGGACAATTTGTTGTCTGCATTGTCATAAATGAGGTTGCGCATAGCACCCGTAGCATGGCGCTGCACCTCCTGGTTGGCATGGTTGAAGAGCTTCACCAGCCTGGGGATGGCATGAAGGCTGCGGGCCTGTGGGCATAGGCATGTAGGCATGTACACATGTGTGAAGACACATGTGAATTGATGCAGATCATGCAGGTATATGCAGACATGTCCAGGTGTGTGGAGACATGTACATAGATGTGTGTAGTCACATATAGGAGCATGCAGGGGTATGTAGCTACTCACAGACATACACAGATATGTGCAGATGTATACAGACACATGCAGGTGTAAGCAAATTCTACTCCCACCCTTCTGCTGAGAAGGGTGGGGTCTCCCCAGTCAGTTTGGAGATCAGAGGGGTGGTCAGGGGCCATAGGTCAGTGAAAGGTAGTGGGGCCAGCAGGGTGGCCACCAAGTGGTAGTGAGTGGGTAGTCAGGGGCCAGTCACCTGCTTCTTGGCCACTGTGTCACTGTAGCACTTGTGCTGGATGTAGGCTGCTCCTAGCACCTGCAGGTTGGGGTCTGAGGCCATGAGGTACTTGACTGCTGAGGGCAGGTCGATGTCATCAAAACTGCAGAGCCAGAGGTCAGGGGTCAGGGTACCCTTGGGATCATGTCACAGCTGTGGCAGAAGCCCCCTCCCTGTGTCAGCCCTAGCTGCTCACCCACTGCTAAGCCTTTGCAGGGTGCGGTGGCCACAGTAGCTGTCCAGCCCACGCACATCAGGTAGGGGGCCTGAGTCAGCCAGGCTAAGGCTGCGCACAGATGGCGCTCGGGCCACAGGCTCCAGGGATGTTCCCGGTAGCACTGCCCCAGCCCCGCCACGGCTTCGATGGCTGCTCTGGAATCGCTGTAAGGTCCGCATGGCAGGGGCACGTATGGTCCGGCTTGGTGGGCCCTCAGTGGCTTCTGGCCAGTCCAGCCCCCCTGCCCGGCCTGAGCTGGAGCTGGCCTGGCGCTCATAAGCAAAAGCCCTATAGGTGGAAGTGGCTGCAGGCTCCAGCTGCTCAGACACTACGCTGTAGCGGTCATCCAGGCCCCCAGCCCCCAGCCTCAGTGAGCGCAGTGACAAGGTGTCATAGTCAACCCGGCTCCCAACCCCAGCACGCTCATGGAAGGACACAGGCCTAGTGGGCATGGGTTGGGTAGGCTGGGTACCCCGGTACCCTGTAGCCCCAAAGGCACTGCCCCCATTGTGTGCAGAGCTCAGCTTCTGACTGCAGCTCAAGTCAACCGCCGAGCGGGAGGACCAGGAGGCCGGGCTATAGGTTGGTTTGGCGATGGGCCAGAAGGTCTGTGGATAGGAAGGGACAGTGAGGAGGACCCTGGGGCTCCCTCGCACCATTCCCTGAGCCCCCAGCCTCACCGCAGAGTCTCTATGGGCTACAGAACCCAGACTGTGCCCACTCTGGCCTGGTCCATCACTCACCGAGGTCTTGTCCCCACTCAGGCCCTGAGAGCGTGAACTGAAGCCAGACTGCAGGGTGTGGTACTGACCTCTCGATGTGCCTGGGAACAGGGACAGTGATGGACACTCTCCCCACCCAGTACCCCAAAGCACTGGCCTCCTGCCTCTCACTAGATGTCTCTGCTCCCAGCAGTCTTAGATGGAGGGCAGGGAGGCCTTAGATGGTGGGCCTTGGGATTCTGGCTACCTGGGAAATACGTCAAAGACTCTTCCATCAGTGTTCCAATCCCTGCCAGAGCACAGCACCCAGCCCCTTCCTCCAGAAAGATAGCCTGGCCTACCCTGGCCTACACTGACCTCTTTTGAGTTCTTCTTGTGTGTAGGCCTCTATGTGCCACAGACACAGGGGAGTTACATGGTGCTGGCCAAGGACACACTGTCTCCTTGGACCAGTCTTCCCTGATGGCTGGGCCCAAGGCAGGGGCCGCACTTACCCACCCTGTGAAGCACAAGCGCAGCTACCCTGGCCCCTCTCCTGGAGAGACAGGCAGGTGGGTGGAAGGATGGAGAGATAGGAGAGTGGGCGGTGAGGATCACATGGGTGATGGCCAATGGATAACTGAATGAATAGGTGGAGTGGACAGAGAGACAGAGGGGTGTGGCTGGCTGATGGACAGACAGGCAGGTACATCAGGAGAGCTGGACACAGACCAGCACCCTGCCCAGGGAGGTTCCAGGGATGTGCACAGAAGTGGGGGCCCTGGCCCTTCCTAGACCCACCCTGGTTAATGAGGCTTCTGATGCTAGTGAGGCCCAGCCTGGGGGACACGCCCCCACCTAGGGACCTTACCCCCACCCCTAAATTATAATCCACCTTCCCCTAATTGGCAGAGTGGCCAGGGTGGTAATTAACCCCTTTCTTCACCCTCCTCCACCCCATGACCCCTGGGCACCTGATCTAGTTACCAGCAAGGCTGAAGCCCAGGGAGGAAGTCCCATAATCCAGACCACCCTGACCCTTTTCCCTTTGGCCAGTGGCTACAGCCAGTCCTAGGTAGGTCCCCCAAATGTCACATGGACTATGTTAAATGATCTGGTCCCCCATCATTCTGGGAGGTTCATCTTACTGTCTAACCTTAGTTCCTGTTGCTGTAGCCTGACAAGGCAGGAAATGACATTTCTGGAACTGCCCTAAACTCACTGCCTGTGTAATCCCTCAACATACCCAGGCACAAACACCCCCCACCCACACAGTACCCCATAGGGCCAGGGTTCCTGCTTGGGAGGATCTAGCTGGCTCTGAGGGGCACTCTCCCATCTACTGTTCTTACAGGGAATATCTGGGTCACTCCAACTAGGCCCTCCCCCTGCAATTCCAGAGGGAGCCCCTGGTCCAGAAAGGCCTGGGAGCTCCTCCAGGATTTCCCCGAAGCTCCCCTTCCCCACCCCTCCACCTCTGTTCCTGGTCTGCTCATTCCTATAGGGAGTAGGAGGCACTATTTGGGGGAGTTGGTGTCTGAGGGTCTGTGTTATGTCCCCAGCACTGTATGAGGCCATGCTACACAGGGCTAGGTGTGTCCATGTCCCAGGTTTGCAGACAGATGGGCCTGGCCTGTCCACCATGTGCTGATCCCCTGTCCTCCTGACAGGGAAGGCTTGAGGCTGAGGGAACAGGTGGGGCTCAACCAGGCTTAGTCCCACACAGCCCAGGGGTCCCTGCCTGGGGGGCCAGCTCCACCCAAGGGTTCTCCCTGCCTCTTGGGGCGGGGCAGGTGACTCAGAGTGAGGCCTAGGTGAGTCAGGAACTGAAGCTGGAGCCGCCTGCCTTGGCCTCTGCCCCTTGCACCACGATCCTGCTGTGGCCACCTCTGCCTACTACTGCTGTCCCTCCTACCTAGCCCCTTGTGGCATTGGCCTACCTCTGGCTGCCTCGGTGTTCATCTCAGTGGCTCCATTGTGCCGTGACTGCTGGCCCAGCTGCAGAAGGCGGGCGCGGACCTGTTCCTGGACACGGGCTATCCGCAGTCGCTCTGCCTCTGGCCCCTCTGTGCCCCTGCGGTCCAGCTGCAGGTCGGAGGGCAGCGCCAGGGAGCAAACACCAGCCTCAGGCTGTAGGGCCGACAGCAGGAAGTTACCGTCCTGCATGGCAGCAGGGGTGCCTGGCCCGTCCAGCTGGCCTGGCCCTCAGCGGCCTCCTTCAACCTAAACTATCTTCACAGTCTTGTCCCTTGAGGCCTTGTCCCCAAAGTCCCCTCCCTGCTGGCCGCACCCAGAGCCAGCCTGGAGACAGACGCTGGCCTAGCCCTGAGCTCAGCTGGGGGCGGGGATACCTGGGCCAGGTAGGAGGGAGGGGCTGCGCCTGCTTAAGGTGGAGTTTGGCGGAAGAACAGGCCCTGCATGGCCCTAGGTGCCAGCCTGGCCTTCTGTCTCCTTTTTCCAATCCTGGGGCAGGACCACAGGGCTGTGGGACCTTCTTGCTCTTAGCCTGTAAAGGTCAGACCTGGCCAAGTGGGGTGGGGTGGGTCAAATGGACTCACTGGGGTGCCACCAGTGCCACACCAGTGTCCTGAGCATTAGGGAAGGCCCAGCGTACTTTTGGGGAAGCCTGAGTTTTGCTATCCCCTAATCTGAAGGGGAAGGTATCTCACTCCCTGGGAGTCTGGGGCTCTAGTTAGCCCCAAGGTCCAGGCAGCCCCCAAGGTAGCCCAACCAGGAGAGCAGGGCAAGGCCAGCTGGACCTTCCCGGCTCCTGGGATCCCAGCACTCTGGCTTCTGCCCACAGGCCTTGGGGTGGGAGGCGTTCCCAGCACATGAGTCAGGGCAACAGGCGGGGCGGCCCTAGGGGGTTGACTCAGAGGGGCCCGACTCATGTCAGTGCCTGCCAGGCTGTGGGGAGTATCTGGGGGAGTACTCAGGAGTCTGGGGGGCCAGGGGCTGATATGGTGGGACCCAGGAGTTTGGGGGGCAGGTGCTGGGGTGGGGAGCCTAGGACTTTGAGGAACAGGGGCTAGGATAGGGACCCAGGAGTCGGGGGGAGGGCAGGGACTGAGATGGGGAACTTAGGAGTCTGGAATGGGGAAACCAGGAGTCTGGGGGGCCAGGGACTGGGGTGAGGAGCCTAGGAGTATGGAGGTCTGGGATAGGGAACCCATCAGTCTGAGGGCGCAGGGGCTGGGATGGGGAGCCCAGGAGTCTGAGGGGCTGGGATACAGAGCCCAGGAGTCTTGGGGGGGCAGGGGCTGGGATGGGAGCCCAGGAGTTTGGGGTGCAGGGGTTGGGATGGGGGCCCAGGAGTCTGGGTGGGCAGGGGCTGGGATGGGGAACTGAGGAGTCTGGGGGGCTAGGGGCTGGGATGGGGAACCCAGGAGTCTGGGGGGCCAGAGACTGGGATAGGGAGCCCAGGAGTCTGGGGGAAGGGGAAGGAACTGGGATGGGGGGGCAGGGGCTTAGATGGGGACCCAGGAGTCTAGGGGCATGGAGGGGAGGCCCAGGCCAAGCAGGGTCTCCGAGAGATGACCCTCAAGCAGCCCCAGCCACCTGGACAGCAAGCTCTGAGGTTTCTCACTGAGGCCCAGTGATCATGACCAGCTCCTGGTAGGTTGGGGGTGCTGGGGACAAGGCTAAGAAGGCTAGGGTGAGGGACTAAGTCACCCAGGCTTCTCTCTGCCTCTTCCTGGACCCTGACCCTGGCCTTGGGGATCTCCCCTTCAGGCCCTTGCCCCAGCCTTGGTCTTCTGAAGACAAGGTCTTAATTGATGGAGGCAGAAGTGGGGATAGGAAGTGGTCAGAGCCAGGAGGCAGCATTGAGGTCAGTGCTGAGGAGGAGGAGCTGGACGATGGGGATCAGGGGTCAGTGTTGGGGGTTAGAGGGGAAAGGGAAGGGTTCCTTGCATAGGGAGGGTTGAGATGGGGCCTCCAGGTGGTGGGTGGTAAGGCAGGAACAGGAGCCTACCCTGCAGGAGGTCTGGATCCCTCTAGGCCCCTGACTCACCCCAGAGGCCACTGCTGCTGGCCGAGTTATCCTGGGCTGCATCCTGGACCCGGCTGTGCGGGGCGTCCTCTGGACAGAACTGTGGGGACCCCACAGGGCGGGGTGGGAACACCCAGCTCATCAGACCGGTTGCTTCCCTGGGAGATGTGTTTCGTGTGGAAAAATCCTGGGAGACAAGTTTGTGCGGCACAGAGCAGGCCTGGAGGCGGGTACCTGGCATGGGCCAGGGCCCGCCCAGCCTTGGGTCCTCCAGGACTCCCCTGGGCGCTATTGAAGCCCAGCCAGGCAGCTTGATGGGGCAGCCAGCCTGGAGGAGCTTGTGAGAAGGCATCTGTGGGGCCCTGGATGAGGGAGCCTTGGTTCAGCTGGAGCCTCGATGGGGGTCGTCAGGTACCCAGCAGCCCGTGGGTCCAGTTCTACGGACATTTGCCCTTCCCTTGGCAGGGGGCTGTGGATGGCACATGCTATGGCAGCCTCTCTGAGGACAGTGGCCCCTGAGCCACACTGTGTGGCCTCTGTATCTCAAAGTCCCAGGAAAGTCTGGAATCTGGTCTCACTTTCTTTAATCACTGTGGGGCTTGAGCTGGCCATGCCTGGTGGGCCCCCTGCCTCTCCCAACCCTGTGATTGGCCTTCTGCTCTGTGATCCTACTGTCTCCCTCCCTGAGGCAGGGAACACAGGAGGAGGGCCTGATATTGGGCTTCCTGGAGGAGGTGGCCAGCCATAGAGCTTCATCCAGGGAGCTTCAGAAGCCAAAAAGAGAGTGCTCTGTCTGAGAGAAGGTACTGGAGCCCCTGTGGGAGCTGTCAGGTTGAGGGCCTCCAACAGTGAGTGACCAGCTCCCTTCCCAAAAGGAGCTGGGATGAGGCAGCTTGGCAGTCTGGGACAGCACTGGTGGAGGGGCCATCCCCACTGAGGTGCACCTGGCAGGACTCCTGGGGTGAAGGGAGGTGTGGTGGATGTCTTGTGGAGCAGAAAATGGAGGATGGGGAGAAAGGCATGAGCATGTGAAAAGCAAAATAACATTCCAGAACAAAATGTGTGAGTGTACCTGCACAGAAAGTCAAGGTGGTCGCCCAATGAGCAGCCCACAAAGCTGGGGTGAGGAGGGGTCCATGTTACCTTCAGTAGTGGGGGCAGCTGGAGACACTTCTGGGCTCCAGCCAAGTCCAGCCCAGGGTCTGGCCCTCCATAGAATCCCCTGCGAGCACTTCACCCTACTCCAGCTGTGTGGCTCCTATGATCCTATAGCCCTGGATTTGGGTGGAGTGGCTCTGACCCCTGGACCCCCACCTATGCTCATGGTGTGGAAGTAGCTGAGCAGTGGAGCGGGGCAGAGCCTTCCATCTGCGCACATACCACCCATGCCTTCCTGCCAGCTGGGCAGTTTGTTTTGTCCACCCCTGGGTTGCTGGTTCAGCAACTGTGTCTGAGGCTCTTCCTAACACTGCTTTAGGACAGGGTCTCCAGGAGCTCCCTTGGAATATGGTGTCACAGACAGTGACCAACCCCAGCCACCCACTGCCATGCTGCCTGTCAGGACAGCTAGAGTAGAAGCCTTTGACTACAGGGATATTGTGGCTGCTCTCCAGAAGCCTCCCAAAAGGAACTGAAGGACCACACCGGGAGCAGAGTGGCTGGGGCCACCCAGCCCTCCCAGGCAGACAGGTGACCCACTCCCATCATCTGATGCCCATTGGGTCTTTCTCCGGAAACCCAGTGATGGGTTTTTTTTTTTGCATCAACACTTCAGTGTTAGATTCTGGCCTGTGTGTAGTCCAGAAAATGTTTCTTCTGCTGCGTTACCTGCACATCCCATCATACTTTCTTAGGAGCAGCTTTTGTCCTTGTTCTATTCCAGTTCTTTCTCCCAACCTTGACTTTTGTGCTTCTCACTATGTTTTCACCTCCTGTTATTCTTTTTTTTTTTTTT